ACAGGATCGTACACCATTTATGGACATTTCTAAAGCAGTTTCCACCAATAACTTTTAACAAATGCTTCTTGTCTTTGCTGATACGCGTTACAGGTGGTAGGCGGTGAGCAAGATGTCAGAAAACTTAATGATCTCAGATAATCCTGATAAATTGTCGTTTGTTCCTCACGTTGCTTCCAATCTTACATGGTTTGTGGAGGGACTCAGCGTTCACGGGTGTGAAAGAATACTTCGTAGTGCTGGAAACCCATACAACCAACCTTTACTGATGCAAGCATATGTGGATTGTGAAGTACCACAAGAGATGCTTGCCTTATCTGCATTGTTTGCTACAGTCGGTGTGCAAGCGTATTACTTCAAGGTGAAATAGCGCAGGCGAATTATTAATTCACCGTACTGTGAACATGGTATACGCGGCAGGAGGCGTCCGAGGTCGTTCTTTGAGTATACTTGATGTAAGAAGAATGTCAATTTTTCGTAGAGGTTGCAGTCCGTCCGTCGAAATCGCGAGACTAAATATCAATCCGTTTCTTCCCATGTTGCTTTTCATTGCAGTCTACAGGTGCGAATTTACATCCCGTCAACTCCTTCATATCTGCTACAGCATAAACTGAAATAATCAAGCGACTTTTGTGCGAACTGAGATTATGAAGTTACGCAGCATTTGGGAGGTGGGTGAATCAGTCACTCCGACGCTTTTATCAACTTCCCGTTCACCAGAAAGAACCAATTTTCATCCACTTTCCGGCCGGACAGCATTACGTATACTTGAGAGGTCGTGCAGATGTGCGGGTGACTGTAAATTCTCTGGTAAAATTCATGGACTCTATTTGAAAACATCTTGAATAGTACCGAACATCCTAAATCACCTATATGGAGTAATAAGATGTGGGAGTAAGAAAGCTGGCTAAAATAATGGAGGCTACCGGTCGAGTTTGTCTGACTTACCCGTAATGTTTGGTTTCAACATCTTCATCCCATATAGGGGCGGAATCTCTCGATTTACTGAGAACGCGTAAAACTAAATCCTCTTCGTTGTTCAAAGCTAACCAGGGAGACTGCTAGTCGATGAGAACATCATGGATGCTGATGGAGACCGCTGTTTATTGGATCGCATTCAGTCAGAAGGTAAAATGCTCTCCAAAGGGTACTTGCGTCCCAAATCAAAATAGATGGTAAGTTCAGTCGATACAGTAAATGCACTAGTTGTAACCGGGACGGGGAAAATAACGAAAAACCTGATGACCTTAATGATGTTTCGCACATTCAACCTGAAGATTATCGTCATAATTTGTCTTACCTCACAATGCCTGGGGGTGCTTGAAACGAGGTCATTAGATCATAACGCTCGAACGTAAAAGACGTGAGCAGGACGGCAGACTAGTACGTAGTAGTAGATTCGAACACTGGTTATTATTGTAAGAGTCGTCTTGAAGTGTTTGACTTCATACCAGTACTTTTAGGTATGTGATGGACGCGAATGAACGTGACGTAGTAACAGAGATTGGCTTAAGCGTTATGCAGTCCCCGAATCTCGGGAAATGGGCAATTTATTTCCATGTACCGCAAATTTTCCGAGACCTGTTTATCGAAAAGTGTGATCCCAAAGAAAGAAAGCATTCCGAGTGTAATTTTTTCAAGTTCACTGACAAAATGAAAATTGTGCAAAAGACTGAGAAACAAAAGACGTTGTATCAGATGCTTAAGAAGAGATTTAAAAAATCACAGCCAAATTGTCTCAGATATGACATACTATTCAATGGCCTCGTCAGATGCACATAAGCGTCGCCAAACAATCACCGCACCACCCTCATCAGCAGAAGCAAGAACACTCTCGTCCCATGCAATCGCTACGTCTAACACAGGTGCCATATGACCTTGAAGCACCGTGACCAAGCCAGCGGGCAGAGCAGAGACACAGTGACTTCGGTGGCTACCATTATACAACACATCGAACACATAAACATTGGAGTCCTCACTTGCCGTAACGGCACAAGCACCGGAGCGGAACGAAACCAGGGGGGCAAAGCATGAGTGTAGCAGTCGAAGACTTCGGTTGGTATGTGAATCAGGCGGTTCATGGTATATCGGAAAACGACGCTTCATGCTCAGACTGCCCGTGCTTGAGGTCACCTGAAACAGAACCAAACCCAGTCGAGCAGCGTTTGCTAGAAGGTATGAATCGCCCGTTTCCCGAGAGAGCCAAGAATGGGCGGAAAGGCTTGTGATGCTTGGAAACTTGGAGCTTGAACGCTGAGAACCGGAAAGCCGTTGAACAAAATTAGAGCGCTTCAGTCGTCCGTTTCCCCGTGTCAAGTCTGCAGATGAAATATCCAAATTATCTTCATAAAGCCCGCTTGGACTGTTTAATGATGTAAGTGCGGTTGACGTCGAAGCTTGTAAGGCACGCAGATTGAGGCGATGCGTTCGAATCAAACGCCCGTTTTCTGGTTGACAAGAGTAAGCTTGAATTACACCACGATCAGTGCCGGCCCACAGACAAGTACCTGAAGCGGCTTCAAAGGTTAGTGCAGTCACACAACCCTGTCCCATGACAGCGAACGGAGTGAAGGTCGCGGCTGGAAGTTTGTGCGATTTGAACCCGATGAAATGAATCTGATCACGTCCCTTCTTGATTGTTTTCCCCGTCGATAGGTTAATTGTCTGCAAGGGTAGCATAAATAGACAGATCGAAGAAGTTAAAAAGGGCCTAATGGCCCTTGTCCAATTATGGACTTTGGATTTCCAGCGACATACTATATGCTAACTTAAAGAGATCACGTTTGTGGTTAATAAGGCTGATCGACATGATATAAGAACACAAAACTTGTGATCTTTCGATATCGTTATTTGAATTGTTTAAAGAAGCTAAGTATTGCTTGCTAATCGAGACAAGTCATATTTCCCCGTTCAGTCGTCTGCGCGACATCTCCGATTTAAGGTTGGTGTCCAGTGGGCGAGTTGAGCAGAGTACGCACAAGTGCGCGGTTGAAAACGTGAACTGAACAGGATAACTGTTTGAGTGGCCATGGTGTTTGTGTGCACTGAATTTTGGGGGTGCTACATTTACGCGCAGCTCATCCATGGCTAGGATGCCTGATGGAAAGGCCCACCAAGCGTGCTTATTTCCTCACCCGATTGGAGAACGTAGATCGGTGCCTGGCTGAATAGTAGTGCAAAAACGAACACATAGTGCCCTGACTGGTAAAGAGAAGTCGACCTGTCTAAGTCATACCGCACGAATTGTACTCGATTCAACGGCAGAAAACTTGTGATCGATAACGACTGGTTTTCACGTCAAGACAGTCGACCGGTCGCGTGACAAATTACTTTGCACATACTTGAAGAGCCACGACAACCTGTAAGGACAAACAAACAAACAGACTGTTTATGAGTAGTCCGGTTGCGTGATTAAGCCAATGGGTAGATGTCACAAACCGAATTCGCCGGCTGCATAACTGCGATCGATGGACATATGACTTTCCATAAAATGATGTGCAACCGGTGGCGGACAATAAGTCTAAATCCACAAGTTGGGTGTCACAGAGCGCGAGAAGCCTCTTGTGAATCCTCAGGAGTAGGACTCCAAGCTCATCCCTCGGTAATCAGGATAAATAGCCTAAGAATTCTGGAGTCGATAGACTGCTTAAATCGGCAGTTGATCAGAGCACTAAGCCATTATAGCCCAATGTGGCAACGCGGACCCCGGTGACTAACTGAAACCGGGTCTGGGAGAACGACATCACTAGCGTTGTTCACAAGGTTGCTGAAAACTTTGACAGGCTACAACCGGTTTGGCCCTTCTTGGGCTCATCAGGTGGGCACAGTCCCGGAGCTCCCGCCAACCTTGTGTTCCACTTTTACCGACCCAAGGTAAAGCCACCGGAGAATTGAACGGCAGAATAACGGCTGCTCCGAACCTTTTTCTACTAAAAGTGACGACTTGTTTCAACAAGCCGAATTATTCACTTATTTACCGTATAATGTTAAAACGCAGCTTGCATAGCGCGGCATCAAATATTGAGAGTGGCCTGCGCTTGATCCGAAGGATAAGTACATAATCAAGTCAAACCAGATCGTTCAGCAAGACAGCTTTCCGGGGCATACCAGCAATGTAACCAAAAGGCATCATGAAGGCTGAATCCGTTCTATTGAGCGATCGACGGACAGGACACGATACGGGCAGATAGTGAGTGGGATAGTAGTCGAATGGCTTGACGGCGCATAATAGAGCATAACAATAATCTCGACAAACACTCTTATTTGCACACCAATTTGGTTTTGACAAATGTGACATCCTTTCGGTGTCTAGCTGCAATGGCACCCGGAGGAAACATGTAGGCTGCACAAGCCTAGACAGGAGCAGTCGAAGTGCCGAGGTTCGGTTCGTTTCGAACCACAGACTATCCGGTCAATAAGTTTGCGTCCTAACCACTGAGCTATGTCGAGCTCAGCCTATATGACGCACTAGTTCATTCCACAAAGAAACAATCCGACCGGTGCTGTTGGTCCACGTTGTTGCTTTTTCGTTTCGAGGGCAATTAATTCCCTGTGACGTTTGATTCCAGCACGCCACGTAACTTGTTTTCACGTAGCTACGCGCAATATTACTTTTCTCCGGGGCTGGTAAATATTAGATTGCGGTACTCGTGCAAATCATAGCTGGTCTGCTGGTGGTTAACTGGTTCTCCCTCCGTGAAGAACAGAATAGGGATACTGCTGGGCTGTTTTACAGATGGACCAGTGATCTGTTGACATTGGCTGTACAATAGTACTTCACTTATCGTCCGGATTTACACTTCATGATTTGAAGCCCATTATTTCTTTACACCAATCGCTCTTTTTACTGGCTGTGGGATGTGTTCCAAGTATTTCGGACGAATATACGGGCGAAAGGTACGGAATTCTCTGTACTGTGGCTAGAATGATGACATGTAGCACAACGCGCAAGCAGCTGCTTGTGTTCACGACTTTCTAATAGACAGGGTGGATCACCACGTGCTCCTTTGTTAGCATAGTATTGTCTACTGTTTTACAGTTTAAAACAGCTAGAAACCTCCCTCAAAATAAATGGGTTGACACTAGTTTACTGTCAGGATATTGGCGTCTGTGCACAAAGGGGCATGAGCTGCCGAGGTACATCCGTGGTTATGAGACGAACTTGCTGATTGGAAGGTCCGTGGCTTGAACCCAAATACTGCTCCAGTATTTCAGCCTTCGTGCTTCCTTCGGGGGTATATAACTAGACACCGAAAGGTTGCTACAGCTGCCGGAATTTCTTCAATAACCCCCAAGTTGTTACTGCGCTGAGTTAGGCAACCCACTGACTACCAATACGCAGTACTAATAGAAATCTTCGAGATATCTCTCACGACGTAAATGGATGCAAACTTCATGGTGTAAACCTGCGAGATTTGGCGTCAGTTTCCAAAACCAAGGATGTATCAGAATGAAGCCAAAAACAAAATAGGATCGTAAATAAACTGAACCTTAATTTTCAACAGAATGGTGCAGCTGATTCTGTGTGGTTTGTAATGTATGGGCTTCCGAGTTTACACATCTGTTTTCGGCCTCATACTCAAAATACGCTCATGACTGTGGTGTCAAAATGGTGAATAAAGACCGGTACCTAAGACGCGTGCGATCGAAATGCATCCATACCGTTTCTAAGTGAGGAGTTTCTATGAAAGTTGGAGGACCATAGAGTGCAACAACCATGCACAAACTCTTCGCGAATGCATCATAAACAAACACATTCCATGAGAAATTAATTGGAATCCGTACTTCTTTAAGGGTTTTCTCAGTAACAGGAGCTAATGCATGTCTTCGATCCTATCTTATCCTATCTTTATTGAACCTGTATCGGCACAATTCAAAATCGGCTTGAGTTTGAATCTTGCTGGTCTAAATTTGGTCAACTCTTTGATCACGCCTTAACCACTGAGCTATCCGAAGCATTGCGAAAAGTGGAACAATCCTAGGAAGAAAGTAGACATACAAAAAGGTTTATGTTAGAGGAATGGTTTAAATATAATAAATCGTTCAGCTGTAGCACCCTTTCGGTGCCTAGCTGCCATGCCACCCGGAGGAAGCACGAGGGCTGAGATACTGCCAGGTCGCCCAAGCCTAGACAGGGGAAGTAGAGAGCCAGAGGTTGGGTTCGAACCACGGACCTTCCGGTCCGACAAGCTCGGCTCATTAAAACGAGAACTGTAGTGGCTATGTGTTTATTTCGTACTGTTTTTGACCTTTCTGCTATCGCACATAAACATACCGTTCAAAATGCCTACATATTCTATACAAGTGAGTACAAAAATATGATTCATAACACCATAAAATACCGAGCGGCTGTGTCGTACTTTTGATCACTGCACTAGAAGACAAACACTCGATTATTTATTTGACCGAAAAATCAAACATCACAATCTCCGCTCACCTGGATCGCTCCCCACGCACCACCAACTACCAGCAGATTGTAATTCTGAGGCTGGTAGGCGCAAACAAGCACGGGTCCAATAGCTACTGTCTGAGCACAGTAGACTCGTATTAATCTGCCACTGGCAGTGTCCCACAAACAAACGCTCCCGTCCAAAGCTGTGCTGACGAGCGTATCATTGGACAGCGACCAAGCCAGATCTGTGATTGAGGTGCCCCGTTGATGGCCGCCAGATAGCAAAAGAAGCACTCGTTTCGCCTGACTCGGAGGCCAGGTAGAGCAGATGGAAATTGTCCCGTCCATAGAAGCTATGGCCAGGCGGGTGTTGTCATTGTTGGCGAACCTTATACGATTCACGGCACCTTAGAAAATAAGATAAGGATTTAGACGAAGTTATGCGCTGTATAGAAAAAAAACGCCACTACGGAGATTCTCTGCGAAAAAGTATTTCGCAGTATCCAGTCTATCACAGTAGAGAGACATACAAACAAACATGGGTTTTAGGTTTTCCACCTTTAAAACGTTCTTTCAGCGGCCAAAAATCCACTTATCTCCTGAATCAGTCGATTCTGAAAACCGAAATCCAGCAGTCAAGGATGATGGAAAGACCCTACCCTTGATAAATGAAATAAACGGAGTCCGTGCATTCAATCTTGAAGCCTATGTGCCACATCCTTTGGCACATGAGGCTACCGACCCATAGTTTCCCATTCTCAACGTTTTATTCTACGTATGAGCCAATCGCAATATCTGGAACATCGTACCAACCGAGACAGAAGACGGCTGTTGCGCGACACAATAATACCATAGACAAGAGATCCAGCTGGTATTCCGCTGAGTTACTCGCTAACGCCACCTATATTTACAAATGAGTTTATCTCGCCAAGTGCATGTCTGGTGATCAAGCAGACCGCAAGGTTGACTATAATATCTGGTGATCAAGCAGACCGCAAGGTTGACGAGAACTCTAAAACCGCACCTAACTGATGGGATTCAACATGGGAGAAGCTGACTGTGGGATGTCTAAAGGTTTACAGCTAATTTGTAAGTAGCATACTCAGTCAACAAATCGACCTTACTTCTGGCTAGAGGGTTTTCGTGGACGACTAAGAGAAGTGCTGCTGCAGTCGAAAGTGCTTTTCTGAGCACCGGAAAATACTATCGGCAGTACTGACAACGGGGCGTTAAGTACATGGGAGAGGTTTCGTTTTTCGAGCGTAGGAAGAAACCGAAAAAACTTACATACATCCGTATAGCCAACATAAACAATGGCCAGCTGGTTAGAACAACTGTAGAAGGCACGTGGATGAAAGTATACTATTGTGATATCTATTGTCCGAGTGTCATTGACTAGCCCCGACGCGATGATTCGGATCATTCCAGTTGATGCAGTTTCTCCAGATGTGAAAGATATAGGGCTAGGACATTTTGAATCTAGCCGGAGTAAGCAAACAGTACTCTATGATGCCCTGACAGAGACGAAGTAGTTTTACAACTCGAGAATACGTTTATGTACCGTAAGGGTCTTCAAGTCTAGGCAGCTCAGATCCTCAGTAAATGTTTGCTCCTTCGACAGAATCCACTCGCTGTCAAGAGGCGGACCATTTGGATCTGGACAAACCACCGCGTTTTCGCATCTACATATTAAGGTGATATTATGCGGATTATTTTACTTATCTTGTTGAGGAACTTAATAATACAGCAGAAGTAAGGGTGTGCAAAAAGCGTTTAGCTCAAGGAGTGAACAAGCGGAATCAAATGGGGCTGGTGTTTGACACCGGGAAAATCATTTCCCGAGCTACAGATATAGCGCGAGTGGTGAAGTCACACATATTTGGAAAGGGGTCGTAGACTGTATGTGATGATTTTAACTATCGTTATTCAGACAGCGTCCTCTATTCACAGTATTTTGTGTTAAAAGGTGCTGCCCAGTATGGTGAGAGTACGCGTCTGAGAAACGAGGAAAATTGTGCTTTGTATCCCAGTCAAATACTCCCGGATGAACTGCTATCACTGAATTCTTAACCAGGCATACCTTCTGCCTCCTCGTGATTTTCGCCAACATGAAAGACACATAAGCTGACTGATGCCCCACCAATTCTGTCTATGGGAGCTGGCTAAGCCCTAATTTCAAGCCAACGATACATCAACACTGGTAGAACGGATGAGTGAGATTCTCTCAAAGTCCAACGACCATACTGGCGGTGCTGACCAGCTGTGACAACCCAGGAATGGGACGCACATCCTGCTGGCCCGGCGCCTTCGGTGACAAGGACTTAAATAAGGGTTCTCAAAACAGAAGGAAAACTGCTCAGCAGCTGCTAGAATGTTCGTAACTTACTTGACGTTGCCAGCTAAATTATCAGCATGTGCAACCTCGACGACTACCGACCAGATATCGGCTGCGTTTCAGAGACCCAATCATCTGACTCAGGCACACGCCAAATCCAGTTTACTGGATCAGACGCTTCATGCAAATAACCGATTGATAAATCTGATCTCCACAGTGTTCTGATTACAACAAGCAATGGGCTGCTGATGCCTAGGAATCTTGTGTGACCAAAAAAGACGCAGTAGCACTTTTCCGAGAGATTCGTGATAAATCTGGTCTCCACAGTGTTCAGATTACAACAAGCAATGGGCTGCTGGTGCCTAGGAACCTTGTGTGACCAAAAAAAAACGCAGTAGCACTTTTCCGAGAGATTCGTGTGCGACTAAGATAGTCGCACACTGAGGAGCTATGTATTCCGGGACAGGCTATGTGATCCACACACTCTCACTACGACGAACATTAGAATTTCGGGCCATATTCTCACAGGCTATTATGGCATGATTTGTTGACCTCACAGCTGCATCTTAGTCGATCAACTATGAATCAATGTGAGCAATCTTTCTAGCTGACGGTGTTCCCATGAAGCTTGCTAATCACACTGGGGACTATTGGTCATCATCCGGATGTAGAAGGGGCCAAGTTCGACACCATATCTGTCTATTGTCTGATACTCTTCAACCTCAATATTGATTGACTACTTGGAGAGGTGTTGGAGAGATACTTTGGTGCCCGATAAGCCTAGAATCTGAATAACCGACTTCGGGGATTGAAGAAATTTCAACGCGCGTCGAGTAATCCAACTCACTGCTCATCATTCCTAGGATGCACAGATCAAGCTTTCAACCTGCATGGGCGTACCTACCAAACTTATCAACATGAGGGGTGAAACAAGCGACTCAACGAGCGGGCAAAAGAAGAAACTTAACAGTGTATGCTGGTACGCCTTAATGCTACTGAGCACCGTTATACTAAGAAGGAACGAGGTGAGCTTACACATGAAAAATCGTGTCTTCAAAGCAACCACCCGTCCAGTCTTGATATATGCTTGCGAAAAATGGCCTATAGGAGCAGAGAATGTTAGTGTATACGACGTAAAATGATAGACCAGTGATGATATACGGAAACTCTATCATGGGCTACAACGCCCATCTCAGCTGATCCAACGGTGTCTACAGTCGCTTTGGGATCAGTTGCGCAGGAACTATGCTGCAATGGTCTAATAAACGTCGGCCCCTGTACCTTGCTTCAAGAGGCGGTCAATAAAGTAAGTTTTGGTGCTAACGGACCAACTGCAAGTCCATATGTGCTGAAAAACTAATAAGCATGCATCGTCTTGTGGTTCGGCCAACAGTGGCTGGTCAGCCGCATTTAGACATGGTATGGTGCCACTGTTCTTCAAACATACAGTTCATGTCACCCAATAATGTACTGACTAGCTGCTTGATTAGGAACCTTTCATGCGGTGGGCGAGCACAGCTTGTGAGATCTTTTCGTCTTCTGAGCAGACTACTTATAGCATGTGGGTAGTGAGGAGAACGCTAAACGACTATAGCGAAACGATTATAGCACTTAACGGTTTTTCAGCATGGACTGACCTCTCTAGCAGGATGAGATTACGGTTGAATCCCTCAAATCATCTCACTATCTACAAGCTAATACTATAAGCGAGTTTTCAATGAATAATACAATACAACGGAGAGCACCAAGACAAAGAACAACGTCGACTAAACATACCAGTGTGGTGATCAAAAACATGTTCAATCCCAGAGAAAGCGTATCCTTCAGCCAATGTCTCCTTAGCTCGGCTGGTGGTATGACCCACACTGTGGCACGATTCATCATCTGTAAACTTGTTCTAAAACAAGAGAAGAGAATATCATCTAATGGCGGGATGCGTTTGGGATGATATCAATCTGAAAAGCTAACCACCGAAAACAGCCATCGCGACCATGCTGACTAGTGCCACTTGTTTCAGTCATCCCAAGCGCTTCACTAACTAGGAAATTTCCACCAGTTCTTTAATTATCCGTGAAAGATTCAAAACAGTAGAGATTTGTCGTAGGACACCGGATCTAGCGATGAAATCGCAATTCCTTGGAGCGAAAAGTCGAGTGCTGAGAAAGCTATTGACCCAAATCTTGAATGAAGAGTGTGGAATTAACGTACAGGCACCTACAAGTAACTGGAAGAGCACCGTGCAGTTCGAATTCGACGAAGCGAAACAACGTTGATCACACTGTGTGGAAACCGAAGTAGCATTCTTGATTATCCACTCAATAGGAAAGTCAAGCTAACTGTTAAGGATTAACAAAATTTTGCAAAGAACCTCAGGAAACATGAACCACATGTTTAGCCTAAACAACCATGCAACCTGGAAGAAATAAAAATAAGGACAAACGACAAACGGAGTCCCAACAAAAACAGTCCAGTGCCATAACTAGAGGTGTAAAGGATTCATGATTGAGGATGAGTCCCTTACTGATTAATTGACCTTAGAGTTAGGGGAAAACGGTCATAAGGGTCAACCGCATAACTCAGAAAACATCCTTACTGAGTAATAGACATGGCGACCACCTGTAATAAAGATAATTGCTCAGCTTAGTTCTCGGCCTAAACCTTCCCGTCAAAACAACCACCAAGGGTTCACAACGTGTAGTAAAGCCCAAAGCCAGGTCAAAAACACTTTTACAGCGCGTCGTATATGGAGCGACAATATTCTGGAAATTCCGACGCTTTCTAGATGCGCCACTGGCAGCCGGCAAGCGGCGGATAATGGATCATTTTTGGCTGTTGGGTCCAATAAGAGCCAATAAGGGCCAATGAGAGCTTGCCTTGATACTGGACCAGCAAGCGGCCCGATCGTCTGGCCGATCGCGTGTGGGATAGGCTTCTTGGATGTAGCAGCGCCTAATTGTGAGCGATAAAGCGGTATCGGTGCGGAATTCCGCGTAACATCACCTTTGAGGATGGGATGGACGAGTCATTTGTGGACAACGTTCACTCAATTTTCCACTGATTGTTGACACTTCCCACCATTGTCACAGGCTACAATTTGTAAATTACTTTTCCTTACGAAATATTCCTTTTCTATGGTAAACTTATCTACCAAGAGTACACCAAGATTTTACGAAACTGGAACGTTCGTCGCCTGTCACGATTATGAGATTTTGTGTTAAGCCTGAATAATCTGAGTCACGTCCCCATCGGGACAGCAACATTTCAAGGTAATGATTTCCTCATGCTTTATGTACACCAGTAAGTTTTTAGCTCTGAGAGAGCAATCTTCTCACGCCGTCACACACGAAACTGTGTGAATCTTAGTACACAGTGTACTATGCGGTACACTATGCTCAGAGCACCCCATCGGCCACGTGCAACCTAGTGTACGAGACATCAGATGGAGCAGTACTCCCAAAACAGCACTTTCGGTGCTTCAGACTTTTTCTACAAAAGATACCCCCTGTAGAGCAAGAAACTGGGCGGGAAATTTTTCCTCATACGCTGATAATTCACGCTGTTGGGTTCGCAAGACCATTCCAGATTTCATTTTGAGAAAGCCGGGAAACGGTCGTCACCAGCCCTTTATTACAAGTGCTTTGCGTCGATTTCTGGAACACCAACAGCAGATGTGAGTCATATGAATGGCCCTTAGGATCAATAACGATAGCACAAGCGAAGAGGTGGTGGCATTCTTAGCTTGAGAAACTATTGAAAATAGGCTCACGATGCAAAGTCATGCTTATGCTGGTGTCAACATAATGCCAACCTTAGAAAAGGGCCTTTCTCCACTGAACAGTGGTTTGCCTTCTAGAACAGTCACAAAAGCTTGCCATGATGTTGTCGCAGGATACTGTAGCTTACCATCAGTGGTTATAAGACAAAATTAAAGCTCAGGGGGCCCAGCCTGCCTAATGAGCCCAAGGAAAGTATCAAGAAGCTCAAATTCCTGAAAGTAGCCACTGAATGCCCGAAATCTGCTGAGACCCTCAGCTTCACTAGATGCTGACCAGACAGACAACGCCCCTCAATATGCGTCACAGCCTTGTATAAAAAGCCTGACAGTGTGAGACAGCGTTGGACCAAGTTCAGACAGTGTCCCTCCAATAAAATAGCGTGAGGCCATTTTATTTTCGCACTCATGCTCTCGCACTCGTTTGTTCGGAATAAAGCTGTTGTGCTCCCTTCGGTGAGTTTTTTTCCGGCAATAGGCACTGCAGCGGGGTCGGCAGTCAGATACAACAGAAAGTGAGACCGGTAGTGAGCTATCCAAAGGTTTCATCAACCTTGTGAGGAGCAGTGAAAAACGCACCTTGCTTCGAAAACCAAACAACCTGATGAGACAGTTCTATGAAACAAACCAAAACGCTTGAACGAAAAGATGCAACCCAGCTCAAACGCTGGAATAAGGTTGTTACAAAAGACCGGAAGATTTTGACTGCCAAGTGGTCATACGGTATATCCGTAACCAAACTGTAGTAAAATATAATACTATTTCGAAAGAGCAGTCACTTGACTCCGCTATCACCCAAATCGTTGAATTGGAGCAAGGAATACGTTTATGCAGACATTTTTACCCACCGATAGATAATCAGGCAAGTGCGATAGTTAGAAAATTTTTCCGAGACCCCTGTATCGTGAACTTCTTCTTTTGAGGGAATAGATTGCCTCTTAGCGGTGCGTGAAAAAGTGACGCAGGTTGAGGTTAGGCCACTGTGAAACATACTTGGCTATTTACTAGAATAGAGTGCTCCCCTCCAGAACACAACCTGTTTCAAAGAGGCAACGTCTGAACGATAGTCCTGTTAAGTTGATGTCTGAAAACAGTGGCTAATGACTCTTAACTATTGATTACAAATTAATCACTGAGATAGAAGACAGAAAGTAAAACAATCTGAAAAGTTATAGTGATTTCTTGGCGATTCGGTATTCACTTCATTCCCTGAGGTATGAACATGCGGGTAGAATGACGAAAAGCCCCTAGCTTCGGTAGCTGAGCTCAACTGACGCTATACATCGGCATGCAGGCCAACCAAATACAAGGAAATGTCAACTTTTACCTCAGCTACAAAATACCATTGTACCACGGCGAAAACTTACATATTGAGATCCTGAGAATGATTCTGGTTTTGGGCTCCCAGCAACACTTTTCGACTGTTCAACGCTGTGTGTATTAGAGGAGAATTGTAAGGAAGGAGCATGTCCATACAGTGAAATCAGAAGCTGTTCACGAAAGCATTTGTATAAATCACGTTTAGGCGCATTGGTATCAACCTCGTGCGAGGCGTGTGTGACTTGTGAAGAACGCGTTTGCTCCTTGGACAACTGGTGTCGTCTGCGCAGATACAGCGTCCGTTGCATGTTTGAATCACCGCACATGGAAGGACGTAAGTGTCCGAATCGCGTATCCAAGGCTAGAATTTGCTGCCACACATCCGAAGTTCCATGAAGGTCTGGAACGGATTCTGAACGCAAACCAGCCAGCTGCTGCTCCATCTAAACCACAACTTTAGTGGCAGGAAATCGTGAGCTTAGCCCATCACTTATGGAGGAATATACTTGTGGCACTGAAGTGGAAAATGAATAGGGTGATAAACAGCATTCTTTGCAGCTGCTAGAGCAATATCGGACGCAAGTTATCTCACATCCGAGTGGAACAGCCAAAATAGAAAGCGCGTTTGTAATCACTATCAGCTCGCTAATATAATCTCAAAGGTCTGGAACATCTTTAATCGATTGAAATGGTTGATGATAAACACCTAGTAAAAGTTCAACTTCGAGTTCTGCAGTAACAGAACAGCGAGGTCAAAACATGTCAATGCCAACGCGCAATGACTCAGCGCCCTCAAGTAGCGCTCCGGAAACGTCTAATTTGAGCAAGCATGGCATGATTAACCCCGACAGACTGAAACGTTATGAAATAGTGAACGAACACGTGAGTAGTGCCATCTACGAGGCACAGCCACGAATGTCACACAACGTCAAGCTTCGCCAGGTCGTTACAAATAAATCAACAGAATCCTTCATAGACTACTGTGAAGGGTAGCAACCACTAAAGGAGTTAAGAAATTTTGGAACCGAGGGATTTTTCAAACTCCTAGAAGCTTTCGAAACCGAAGTTACTAGGACAGCAGCATCAGTGAGTTACAGGTTATCACCAAAAGCAGAAATTTGTTAGACAGCTAATGTTGCTCCCCGAGCTGTTACTAGGGCTCATTTTCAAGGAACAGTATTTGCTTCGCCATTCCAAGTCCCTTGATTGGGAAAACCATTTTTACTTACCAAACAAACGAGATCATACACGATCCTCTAGCATCTTCGAAAATTCACCCTAACATTTCTCTCCCATCCATTCTAATCTGTTCCTCACACAGGCCTCAACTTTGGAATTCTCAAGTGTCTCGCCACTGTTAATTAAGTCGGCTATTGTTTGCAGTCCTTCGATATGCAGTGGTTCCAGAGGCGACAGCTTTGTTCACCCAGGATAAGGGGAATAAATAAACAGGAACCACGCGTTGGGAGGGATGGCCTAATCAGTTCACTGAAGTCTAATGGTTCTGTTTGTCCGATGTGGTAGGAATGGAGATCTACGCAGTGAAGGCGACAGCTTTGATCCAGGACTGTCATTAGCTGCGTAACACAGTCATATCTGTCCAGGTCAGTGGTTCACCTCGTCCCACGGTGAAGACGGCATTTACCAACGCGACTGAGTCGACTGGTAAGTCCTTCCGTGCTTCGCTGTCAGGTCATGGACTGATCACATCCGGGTCTTCTCCATCTGAAACAGGGCTGTAGGGGGGCAGATAGTCCTCTGCCATACGAAGTACGCGGCCTAACCAGAGTAACCTGTGGAGCGTGACAAGTTGATGTATCTAGGGGAATTGAAACATCCGGAGAACTATCAGACGTAGTGCAGCATAACCGATATGGTTTCCACCAGACTCATGTAATGCTTCTGAGGCACCTATGGTCAAACATACAAAGCCTTCGCGGGTCTTGCACACGCAACGTGAACGACTCTGACTCATAAGGTAGAACAAATCAGAGCGTGGTATTGTATACTCTACCCTTGACAGTCAAACTGATGTCACGTCAGCGTCACGAATGTTGAAGATTGGCTGGGACTTAGGAAGCTGCCAGGATAGACAAACTTATCCACCATATCGATCGGTCCACCTGCAAGCATGAAGTTTGGGTTCAATCCCACCCAATATTGCAGCAGCATATTATAATTTATGGGTGCGAAGTGCATACCGAGCTGTGCAGCGGAGTTATTTAGTTTAGTTAAAGTAGTTTGCACTTCTGGGGGGCTTGATCCGAACGTTAAATGCACTAAATGCCCGTGTGCGAATGCCCGATAGTATTTCGATCCCCGAGATGTTATAGATGGACTTTGAAAACTGAAGCAGCATATCAATTATGAAGCTGAAGAGGAAGGGCGATAGAGGATACCATTACCTGACATCACTTGATGTGGTGAACTCAAGAGAGAATTTACCGCAGACACGTACGCGTCCAAGAGGAGGCATGTAAAGCCTTTGTACGATGCAATAATCTAGGACGGACATCCGTCACTACTGCGGTTTCCGATGACCAACGGAGCCAGAAGCAGATATGAAGTCGAGGAAGACCATCGTCATTGTTCATCAAAAACGTGGCGCAGTTGCATAACTCGTCGCGAACGGAAAATATGGCCTATGCACCCCGGCGAGAGGGGAGCCCAGTTTGATTGTCGAGATGACGGATCAACCTGCACAGGCTAATGCCTGAGAACATGTTGGAAGCTATAGTCGTTAAGCTGATGCCCCAGTGCTTTTGCATTCTGTTTGAATGTCGTAATCACCGTTGAGGCGCTTGATTTTGTAGCAGGATCATTACGCTAGCCACCCTTATTGAAGAGTGCAAGGTACAAACCGTCTGGTCCGTGTGCTTTATTGCACTGAAGCAGTGGAAATGCATGCCGGAGTTTCATCGTTGATGGCGGAATGATGTTAACGTTCCGTTGGGATTCAATCAGTACTTCCAGAGGATGTTGACGGAGGTCAGCTGCACCGTCCTTCAGAGTTATACACCTATCCTCCAAGACAAATTTCTGTGACGGGATTGAGGTCCGATTTTTTACTCACACCCACGGTCCTTGACCAGTTAGTCGGATGATCTGGAACAAGGTGCGAGTGTCCCTGTCGCAAAATCCTCCGTTTCCCGGGGTTTGAGATCCACCGGCGCTCTATCAATCCTTGGGCTCCTCGGCGATTAGGAAATGTGCACATGCCATCACAGTCGTCCAGGCTTCAAGCAGAGCTGCTGACTGTGTTCACTGTGGTGTGCGGCCTTCCCCAGGCAGACGGTTTCAATAGCTGTGAGCATGGCGTCTTCCACCTTTCTCCAGTCGTCGTCCGACTCACCACTGTGCGCATCGAGTTCTGGGCTGGTGTATATTCGCTCTGTTTTTTCAAACTTTTCACGGTTCATTGCTAAATCGCTTTTTTTTCGTTTTAGTTCTCAGTGCCAGTTTTGAATAAATAGAGCCCAGTTTCCTAGTCCTGAGTCTTTTCCATTCTTATTAGGATTGACGCTGCGTCGGTTTGGCTCCCTTGGTAACAAGTCATCTGGCAGCTTCATACCCTGGTGGCGGTTCTCGAAACCCTAATTCATAAGCACCACAAACAAAAACCCGTTTTCTCACCGCCTTGTTACGAATTCGTTGACGCCATCCAACGCCACCGACGCTACTGAGACATCTGCGGTCAAAAACTTGAAGACTTTTGCAGGGACCCTCAACCATACAAACAACACAGTCCCTACTGCGGCCTGGTACATGGGACCCTCAAGACCCAATGATATACCTGTTTGACGCCATAAGTAACACAAATTAGCCTCTAGGAGTCGCGCACTGACTTCATCAGATACACTCCCATCAGAGCTAATATAACTACCGAGGTATGTAAAATCCTCAACAACCTCCAATGGTTCTCCTTGAACTTCAGGTCTTGAAACTTTTAAGGTGCTACGTGCATGCCGAAAGGTGGTATGACGGTGGTCAGTTTATTCAACAGAGCTTGTGCTGCGCCTTTAGCTTTACAGATGATAGACAAGGTTTTCATCAGCAACAATTTGAACACCGGGGTTTTGAAGGACTTTTAGTGCTCACCTCATTTGTTCATCAATGACGAAGTTGAACAAGGACGGAGAGAGTGAACAACATTGTCGAACATCACTCTTTGTAGAGAAGCTTTTAGAGAGCTCGCCATACAGTCTCACACCACTGGCAGCCGGCAAGTGGCGGATGCTGGATCATTTTTGGTTGTTGGGCCCGGACTTTCAGCCGATAAGAGCTTGCCTTGATACTGGACCAGCAAGCGGCCCGATCGTCTGGCCGATCGCGTGTGGGATAGGCTTCTTGGATGTAGCAGCGCCTAATTGTGAGCGATAAAGCGGTATCGGTGCGGAATTCCGCGTAACATCACCTTTGAGGATGGGATGGACGAGTCATTTGTGGACAACGTTCACTCAATTTTCCACTGATTGTTGACACTTCCCACCATTGTCACAGGCTACAATTTGTAAATTACTTTTCCTTACGAAATATTCCTTTTCTATGGTAAACTTATCTACCAAGAGTACACCAAGATTTTACGAAACTGGAACGTTCGTCGCCTGTCACGATTATGAGATTTTGTGTTAAGCCTGAATAATCTGAGTCACGTCCCCATCGGGACAGCAACATTTCAAGGTAATGATTTCCTCATGCTTTATGTACACCAGTAAGTTTTTAGCTCTGAGAGAGCAATTTGCTCACCTCATTAGTTCATCAATGACGAAGTTGAACAAGGATGGAGAGAGTGGACAACAGTGTCGAACATCACTCTTTGTAGAGAAGCTTTTAGAGAGCTCACCATACAGTCTCACACCCAAAAGTATGTGAATACAGAGACCGGACTATGTTCACAAACTTCTGGGACACGAGGTTTTGAGCAAGTGTAGTTAACAGCACCAATCCATCGACAGAATCGAACACACCGTTGAAGCCAAGGATGTGGGGGTGATTGTGGATCGTTTGTACATACGTCGTTGCTCTAACACCTGGCGGAGTGTGAAGATGTGGGCGATGCGGCCCCTAATCCGTCGAAATCTTCCTTGATGCTCACGGATCGAAGATTCGCTAACCGCCTTAAGAAACCCAGGAGCCAGTTACGCCAGAGACCTTGTTGCAATTGGAGTCAAAATAACACCTCTGTAATTAATATATTCACTGCGAGCACCGTTTTTGAAGATGGGCACTATTATCGACCCATACGTTATCTGGTACGGTCCCTCTCCCGTGATTGTGGTTTGTACATACGTCGTTGCTCTAACACCTGGCGGAGTGTGAAGATGTGGGCGATGCGGCCCCTAATCCGTCGAAATCTTCCTTGATGCTCACGGATCGAAGATTCGCTAACCGCCTTAAGAAACCCAGGAGCCAGTTACGCCAGAGACCTTGTTGCAATTGGAGTCAAAATAACACCTCTGTAATTAATATATTCACTGCGAGCACCGTTTTTGAAGATGGGCACTATTATCGACCCATACGTTATCTGGTACGGTCCCTCTCCCGGATAGACCCAAGTAGGCTAGACAGGCACTTGCGAAATAAA